TGACGCAGATCGATGGGGTCAGTATCTGTCTCTTATACACATCTAGATGTGTATAAGAGACAGTCTCAGTAGAGATACAAAAATGATAAGCAACAGCTAAAAAGTAAACGTAAGTAAACAGCCAGAAATAGAACCAGAGCTTTCGGACAACACTAGTCCTTCCTCAGTGGCGAGTGATATATATATATATATATATATATATCACCATTGGTGCATATCATAAACCTCGGTCAGCTGCCTTTCACCATTGATGAGGTAGTTGATATTCAATTTTTTGTCCAACAAGATAGGATCTTTTTACCCTTGTTTGGTAGTTCGTAAGTTTCATTCAAAATCAGAACTAATCCTACTCATGTACATTGGCTGCCCAATGAGAATGATTTCCTAGGACGTGCACTGACCTCTTCGCAAATTGAATGAAAATAAATGAATGAAAATAAATGAATAAATTGTGGTTGATCGAAGTTTATTGTAGTTAAGTATGACTAACCTCCTGGTAGACGTTTTTAAAATAAATTGGAATATATTGTACACACTTTTATGAATTACTTCAATGTTGAATTACCTTTTCAGTTTTGATATAGTCAATTAGCTTGCAGGGGCACCTTATTCTGTACAAAAGAAAATTATGCCCCAAACAGATACAAATAGAAAAGCGGCTTGTAGAAGTAAAAGGTGACATGAATAACTAATTAGTCCAGTGCTGCTGATTTTTTTGATTTTTTTTTTTTGCCTTCGCCTCACCCTTAAACCACTTTATTCCCCCGTTTTTATTTGCTGCCAGCTTTGAGAATTTTTACTTGACATAAGAACTGTGGTGCTGTTTTTCACATCCCTTTGATTTTGATTGTTGTGTTATGGTAGCCTCATTGTCAGTCAAAAGTTATTTTCTGTGCTTGAGAATACTTCAAGCTTCAGAGGAGCTAATGAGTCTTTCACAAGAACAGAATCGCATATCGTAGACTTTATTGGAATTGGGCCAGTTGCGTGAGTATGGGTGATGATGGACCTGGGCCAGTTGCGTGAGTATGGGTGATGATGGACCCATCAGGGATACCTCAATTAGATGGTCTGGAAAGCTCAATGCAATTATCGAGATGTGGACGGTGTTTCAAAGGCCTAATTGAAAAATCATTAACATACTTCTCAGACATTCATTGACATCTGGAAAACAAATTTTTGTCAGGAGACCTCCTCCAAATGTATCTACCACAACTACTTTATTCTGTTTGTCTAGGTTCCCTGTACCTCGACTAAAGAACTTTTCTGGTTCCCAGGCCATGTGAGTTCACTTCAATTGACGAATTGGTGACTCCAGCTATTACTGGTCATGTGACATATAGTGGGTACTAAATGTAAACATTGATATCGTAAACCACAGTGCGCTTATTAAACACAGTATAATGAGGGAGTTACGATGTTTTTTAGACGACGACCCAAAGTTAAGTAAGGCAGTAGGTTTTTTTTTTTAAAATAGTGATTTATAATTACTCTCCGTGCATTTTATTTAGGCTCTGGAATGCTGCTAGTGTATGGTAGGCTACAAAAAGGTAGGCATAGGCCTAGGCTGCACTTTGAGTGTTAAGCCTTTTGAACAGGGCCTGGAGCAGGGGAGGTAGTTGTTATGCCTCGTCTATATATCTCTGTAGTCGAGTACAGTAGGTAATAAAGTAGAAAACTATGGAACGCCTTTGGTGGCTCTTTTCCGTTCGGCGCATTTGCTATTCGGCCCTTTTAACATTACGTTCGGTGCTTTTACATTACGTTCGGTGCTTTTTACATTACGTTCGGTGCTTTTTACATTACATTCGGTGCTTATTACATTACGTTCGGTGCTTATTACATTACGTTCGGTGCTTTTACATTACGTTCGGTGCTTTTAAATTACGTTAGGTGCTTTTACATTACGTTCGGTGCTTTTATTAACATTACATTCGGTGCTTTGAAGCATTACGTTCGGTGCTTTTATCATTACGTTGGGTGCTTTTGCCACACTTACGGATCTTTTATCATTTGGTGCTTTTTAGTTTTACCTTTCGGCCCTTTCATCATTACGTACAGTTCTTTTATCATTCGGTGCTTTCATGACCTTTGTCTTCGGGTCAAGTGGAAAAAATCAACGGCTGTGGGAATGAGCCTAGTGGAACTTGCGTGCTCCTTATCTCTTTCTTCTCTTTCATTTTTTTCTTTTCTTCTTTCAACTTCTTAGTTTCATTACTGATACACTATATTATATTCATGTTTTGAAACACAGGTGGGCACGCATTCTTCATATAATATATATATATATATATATATATATATGTATATATACATATATATATATTGCAAGGCACACGCACACGCATATATATATATATATATATATATTATATTTATATATATGTACATTTATAAATATATATTATATTTATATATATGTACATGTATAAATAATAATAATAATAATAATAAATAATACTAATGCTGTAAAGGCAAATATACAACATGGTAGGCCCTAAATAACAATTTAAATGGTATCAGATGCCCGCAAGACGGAAACAAATTGGTCGTAGATCGGGAGTTCTAAATGTGGAATGTGGATTTTCTCCCCAAGAGATGGGTGTTCTCCCTGTACCCTCCCACTGCACTGGCTCCACCCCTGCTTCACGAATTGCCTTTTTCCAACTTGGGACCCCTGCAAATGTGTATCTTTGTTGTAATATAAATGCTAAGTTTTTATTATTTATTTGAGGTATATTTATTAAAAATTCAACATCAAAAACATACATAGCAGTAACAAAGGCTGAATTGCGTATGAATTAAAGAAGTAAGAATAAAATATATATTATATAATATTAAAAAGGTAGACAAAATAAAAAGACAAAAAAATAAATACCAATATCAAAATACGAGATAACCACGGAAGGAGCATTTGTAAAACGACCGGACAGTAAAGGGAGGGGAAAATAAATCAATCAACTGTAGGGGAAAAATTTTTGAGTTTAACTTTTATTTATTATGCAAGCCAAAAATGGGATCAGACTTGTTTGGAATCGTTTGGTTACCGGTAATTAATTAATTAATTAATTATGTTTCTTTTATTTAAATAAGCCTGCTTCTTCATATCCGGAATAAAGAAGATTCCCCCCTCCCCTAGCTATTTTTGTTTTCAATACTAGGTCTATAGAGATATGCAGATTTGGTCTATTGCGCTCCTATCGCACTTATCATTTTTCCATACACAGAAAAATCTCTAAAGTTTAAAGAAATCTATAGTCATTAACAGACCCTTAGCAGTGGCATATCCAGGATTTAAAGAAAGGGGTTACTGAAAGAGAATGCCACTTAGTTCAGACCACATGAAAATGGACGCCTGGAAATAGAAGTTAAATTACCTTTTTAAAATGTTCTGATTTGACAAATTGAGTCAAAACATACAACGATTTAAAGTATTACTCAGGTGTTAGGCAATTTCTTCAGGATTCTGATAAGTGTATCCCAACCCTCTAAATCTGCCCCTGTGAATGGTGATTGAACTGCACTACATGACTGCACTGCATAACGATTGCACCACTAGTCAGAACCGCATTCCATACATGCACTATTCAGGAAAAAAACAAGGATTGTCTCCCTGTCCAGTGTACTGTATTTCCCAATTCACCACAAGAGACCTTTTACTGGAAATAAATCCTTTGACTTGTTTGGGTTATCCGCGGTGTATTTAACATTGTAGAAATCTAATCCAATCTTTTTAAATTCACTATAAAGTAATTTAAAACAATAATGTTTGATTATTGTACTTCTGGGCTTGCGTTCATCACACATATTTTCAGCAGAACATGTTTAAAGATTTAGATTGTTTTTATGTTGGTAGTTCAGCAGTTAAAATTAGATAACAAGTATTTCCTATGTAGAGGTGTAATGAATGTCAATATAATGTTGAATTTAGAATAGAATTACAGTGATGTTTTATAAACAACCTTATAGTAAAAATGTGTCCATGATCTATACTACAGATGTTTAATGCATCCAATAAAGCAATCACAACTATAGCTCTTTAAAATGTTGTAGCCCTAATAAAGTCCATAAATTTAAGTTTAAGTTTTTATTTACTACATGATTGAGCTATTAATAAAACTAAACACACATTGAGAGCAGAGGCGTTTTTAATATATTTACAGATAGTCGAGTCGAGTGGCCGAGCGGTAAGGCAGGGGTGCTGCTAGCTACAGCCTTAACACTGGTGCTGGTTCCAGCTGCTCATTTAGATAAGGCCCAGCATCCACAATAACTTGGTTTATTTATCATTGGCTTATTTTTGAACATATACCTATTATATTTGAATTCAAACTGTGTGTAAGTGTCTCTCCACGCTTTCAACGCCACTGACTGTTCACAAAGCCATGTGACTAGAGGTCAGCATTAACTACAAGAAAATGTTGAAAGAACAGATATTTACTCCCAAGTGTCCCGCAAGTCGCTACAGCCTTCTGCACTCCCACAACTAAACAACAATCTCCTGCAAATTCATTAAAATACCCCTTATCATTTTTCTAAAGGAAGTCAGTGTCAATATTGGTACCATTATTAGTAGTAAAACACAATTAGGTGTGCTAAGAAAGCTCATTTATCTCCTGCAAAAAACTTCTTCCAACTTAGGACCCTGTGTTGATTAATGCATTGGAATGCTTACGCCTATTATTAACCACTAATGTTATATTGGAAAATGATGTTAGAACTAGATGCAATACTGTACTGAGCATTGGTAAGAGTTGTCAGATTAAGAGGCCACTAAACTACAGTCAGGACACGCCCCTTTTCCCAGTTTTTAATTATACAAAAATCTGGATCTGTTCCAATTTTCTGTGACAAATACACCTTCAGTGCCTTTAGAACATATTTTTTCTCTCCAGAGCCTGGCTTTAAAACAACTGAAAATGATGTTAAAATAATACTCAAACACTTATATGACGCCAATTCCAAGAATGATCAAAGGTGCGAGCGTTATTACCCCTGGTCTCTGGATAACGTACAATGGCAAACCAGCACTAAGTGCAACTTCCTCTGCTCCCTGGGGAGCATCCCTAGTCGTTCGCTACTACTTTAGCGCACAAAACTATGAACATTCAATGCCACAACATCCTACCAGGTACCCATTTATACTCCTGGGTAGAGAGAGGCAAACATAGATAAAGTGCCTTGCCCAAGGACACAAGCAACTTGCACAGCGAGAGTTTCAAACCCCTGACCTCAAGGTTGGGAGTCCAAGCCACAATCGATGCGCCAACCACTTCTAAAAGAGCATAGAACTACTTGTGTAAGTTGAATAATGCATTTGGGTGCTTATTCATCATCATCATCATATTTAAAAATACAGTGTAAGCCATTAACGTTACAATGTAACTGTAAAAAAGCATTGATAAATATGGTTATAAGCCTAGATATAATGAAGCATGTAACTGGAACATGGAAGTATAGACCAATTAATATGGTCCATGGTTAAAAACACTAGTTGGATTGGTGCTTAGACTCATTTATTGAGACATTGTATAAGTCTAAATTTGGATTGGATTGATAATTATAAGTAAACATAAATTTACAAAGAGTATTAACACCACATTAAAATTTATCAAATATGAACTTGCACAAGATCCTTATACTTAGACCTATATTTAAATTAAGCGTAACCACAACCACTCATTAATGAGAAGAGATTGCAATGATAAATAAAGTACTATATGCTTCAGCCTTGGTTTAGTCTCTCGTCATTTACGCAAATATGATGGAACCGTCTCTGAAGACTCCTTCAAAATTTTCCATTTTTACCTGCAATTGGAACATTAAAAAATTGATACATCACTCATAGATATCATTTGCTAATTTCTTCATTGATCACAAATCACAGATTGTTTTAAAGGGAGAGGGAGAGAGAAATTGAACTCACCATGATTGATTTTCTGATAAGTGCTTTCCTTGTGCCATCTTTGTTTGTCTGTGCAACTGTTGTCATGCTCCTTGATGAAAAAACAGTGGTTATTTCCCAATCATTGCTTTCACCAAACAGTTGTCTCTGAATTTCTTTGTTTTCCAAAGCCCTCAAGAACTGCTCATAACACTCTTCCCCTTCCCGACCACTAGTGGCAGTTGACACAAAGGTATGTGAACCTTCATTTAAATACCTCCATTTGATATTCTCGAGACCAGGCTCATTCAAAAACCGTGGAAAATGATTTGTGTAATATGATGGTGACAACCTCCAACCACCTCCAGGCCACCTAGGTCCAGCTACACCATAGACATTTAAGACGCACATGTATTCTGTACTCTGCAACGTGGCACATTCATTCTGCAAATCTTCGATTGCAACGTTGAACTGTTAGAATATTAATTCTGTTTTTATATAGTGCATAAATATAAAAATATCACATACAGTAATACAATAATTCAAGATTCATTTGAGTTGTTTATAAAACTAAATATTGATGCAAAGTATATACTGTATACATTTTGAATGTTAAGCCTAAAGAAGAGGAGTCTGCGAGTGTGAAAAAGAGCTCCCCAAAACCGGTTCTATAATGTTTACAATTTATGTATGTATAAATGACCATAAGATGATTTAGAGTATTCTTCACATGTTAGCTTTCTTAAACAAAGTATCTCTTCGAAGATCTCGTCTTGTCGTTTAAGATGCTAAGAAGAAGGTGTGTTTTAGAAACCTTAAACAATTTGGCTGTTAAACAATTGTAGTTAAATGATTATTTTTGTCTTGTTCTCTCTAAACTTTATTAACTTTATTTGGCTATTAGCAAAAAAATGAATTAAATAGGTCTATCAGATTAAAATGTCTTATAAGCATATTTATAATAAATACATAATGTTTAACTAAGATACTAATAAGTTGACCTAAAGCTCCAGAAATTTGCTAACAGGGTGTCTGAATCAAGGGGTTGGCTATCGCCACGGTCAGGGCCCCTGGCATAAATATACCTGGTAGGTTTTGCAGGGAGATTTTTTTAAGTTGGGGGTGAGGGTACGATGCTTAATCCTTCATTTAATTTTATTTATAATTATTAACTGAGAGCCATGCCTTCAAGTATGCTTTTCCACAGTTTATTTTGCCTTTTAATTTATATATTAATGCAGCTCCTCCCTGACGCATCCCATCATTTTTCAAAAGCAGTGTATGCTGTAATTAAGTACGGCAGTGACGGCTAGATTCAGCAAACTGGGTTTTGGCAAACTGGGTTGTTATGATTTCAAACTAGGTTCGGCAAAGTGGCCATGGACTTCGCAAGTTGGGTTTCGAGAAACTGGTCGTATACCGAGTCTATACCCAGCTCAGCCCAAACCGATGGGACTGAGGCGAGCAAATTTAAACAAATGACACCTGGAATAGCAGCTTGCAATCTGTAAAGCCACTATCCCTCCCTTCAAGGGCAGACAAAGATGGGTTGGGCTTGGCACTGAGCACTGTAAATGGGTTATTGGTGTGGGGGGGGGGGGAGATATCCAATTTCATATAGGCCTATATGTGATATAATTATAGAGTACTACAGTGACGAAGATAAATGATTATCCAAATGGTATGATTGGTGTTGCAGTATGTGGTCACTTTTTAGCTTTGGTATGCTAAATGCTTTTTAATTTTGATTGTAACTAATCAGGCCCCAGGGGTGGCGCCAGCGGAGGGCCGGGGCCAGGCCCCCCCCCCAATCAAGGAGAGCTGGCCTCCCCGTCGGAGAGAAAAAGCACAATTCGTCGGGGAGAAAAAAATTAAAAAAATTTTCGGCCCCAGGACCACTTCCAGAAACTTTTAATTGAAGCTCGACCACACCCACTTTGCTTTCGTCGGGGAAATCTGACATCTCGTCCGGAAAACCGCCCCCCCCCCAAGTCGTATGTTTTTTGTGGTGATGAAAGGTTGGCCTACTTTAAGCCCGCACCCCCAAAAAATGTATATATTATTATTTTATATTTATATACCGTTACACATTTTCAAAATTAATCTTAATTATTAAAATTAAAATTAAGTATTGTCAAAGTTGAAATGCATGTAGTGCATGTTCTAAAGACCATGTGACTGTGATGCAAGCGACAGTGTTAATAAATTCACATAATTTAGAGGTATCGTTATATATTTATTTAAAAAAGTAATATTAAGAAAAAGTGGTCGTCTATAGCCAGTACGGCCCTGTTTTATTAAGAATATATAAACAATGTTTATCGATTTGCCTATACTATGGACATGGGAAGTGGTAGGAGAGAGAAATTAAAGACGCTCTTGAAATTATATGATTTTACTGTTACCTTATGAACTTGAGACATCACTGATGGAAGTGACCGTTTATCAATGACATCATCAAATGCTGCAACATCGCAATCAGCAGTAAAAGCTGTTATCACAGTGGAAGATTCATCTCCGTGGTCTATCAGACTGTCCATTAGCGTAGTTACACTCTACAATGAGAATTTTTTTTTTAACCATATGTAATAATATTGCAGGAATGAAATCATATTCAACTAGAGGGCACTCGGAGAGTGCATACCTTCGCCCACATCATAATTCTCAGCATAAATTTTTCCCGCACATTGTCCCCCCCCCCAAAATAAGCAACCAAAAAAAAAAAAAAAAAAAAAAAAAAACAAGGAGACTCCTTGGGATTTGGACCCGGTACCTGGCCCCCCCCCAACTTTTGAGGCTGTTCCCAGCACCAGTGACAAACATTTTACGAACGCTGCAGTGTCATTATTATTATTATTATTAGGCATATTATTATTGTTGTTGTTACTATTTGGTGCTTATACACCTTCTTTATTTGCGTCTTATAAATTGACCTATTATTATCATTATGAAATATAGATATTTTTTTTTCATTTTCTAACGAGCATTAAGTTCCCTTTTTGAGATGAGCTACCAAATGTTGATTGACGTCTGTATACATGCGTCTGTAAAGTTTCTTTGAAACCCACCTCAAGCATGAAGAAAAAATCGCCTGCCTTCGTGAATTCTGTATTTAGGCATATGGGGCAGGGCCGGCGGAACGTTTTTCAAAGTGGGGGGCCCCACTTATAAGCAGGCGCGTAACAGGGGTCTTGGGTCTGGGGGGGGCAAAGGTAATAATTTTCCCGGTTAGTAATTTATGACTTGGTGTGATACCCCCCCCCCCATATAGAAATACGGCGTGGCTTATTTTAATATTAATATAGGGCACACGCGTGTGTTTGGAACTAAATATAAGCATTTTCATCGTGGTTTTATTTATTACAATTCATAGGCTTATTCTTTCACCATCATTGCACATTGAGGCCCTTCTTTTAGGTAAAACGATCTATCTTAAATTTTCTTTCTCAAGTTTTGAGACTATTATGTTTTTAAATAACTTAGAAGGCAAAGGAGGGCAAGCACAAGCTTCAACCGCAACAAACGCGAAAATTTTTTTTGTGCTTTTAATTCTAGTTTCGTCGGAATTGATCAAAACTCCCTAATTGTGCAATTTTTAGAGGAAATTGGCCTACCTCAACAAGAAATGCTCTTATGTTATGTATTGCCACACTCGTTTTTTTTAAAACTGAATATAAGTATTTTCCTTATGGATTTATTTATTACAAACATATTCTTATCATAAACATCA